ACAAGAATTAGAACCATACAACCTTGAACAAAAACGAATTGCTCAATCCTATGATGGCGCTCCCGCGTTTTGTGGAGGGAACAGCGGGGTCCAGGTGAAGATAAGAGATACATTTCCTCATGCACATTTCATCCACTTTGGACATTAATAAGAGAGAACATTCTGGAAGTCGCTCTGTCAGAAATACACAAACTTACAACTCCAAAATCAACCGCCGAATCCGAGCGTTGTTTCAGCACTCCAAAAAGAGTTAAGACATATCTAAGTAACTCAATGGGTCAAGAACGTCTGAAGGCACTGGCTGTACTTAGCATTCCTAAGGACATGATTGCAGAGATTCCGGCATTCAACCAAAAAGTGACTGATTTGTTTGCTTCCCAGAAGAATAGACGAGCGCAGTGCCTGTATAACTGAGGTAACTTAAAGCATTATTTTAATTAATGGCATGAATTGCAATGGAGCATGCTTACATTTTCTAATACTGTTAAGTGCAAAATGTTTTCACACGTTTTAAAGTAGGAATTTGTAATACAACTCACATCACTACTACCTACTACTACTACACTACTACTACTACTGTAGCGCCATCTGTGGACTAAAACCTCATGGAGAGCCATGAAGTGTAATTAAAATGTAACATCTTACTTTCTTATTATTATGTCCCTTATTGGGCTGTGGACACCGCTCCTCTGAAGAATTCATTTTATAGGATAGGGCAGTAGGTACTGGGAATGAAGATTATGGAAGCATGGGAACCTACTCTGACCCACCCTTGTGGTCACGCTGTAAGTTAACCACTTGAAACCAAGCTAATTCAGCGAGAAATAACAAAAATATAGCGCCATCTGTTGAACATTACTCCACAGATGGCGAAGCGTGAAGTGACACCACTCTTGGGATCACGCAGAGAGTTAAACACTTGAGATCAAGCTATATCAGCGAGAGTTAACAGGAACAAGAATTATAACTGCAGCGCCATCTGTTGAACAGATGTTGTAATGTTCAACAGATGGCGCTACAGTTATTATACATTCTCTTGTTAACTCCCACTGATAGAACATGGTCTCAAATGAATAAGTTAAAGTC